AAGATACATTTGGCCTTGCGTTGCCGGCAGTTGATGCAGGCCTTGTAGGCGCGCTTGAAGTCTTCCGGGTGGGTCCGCTTCTTGCTTGATGCTGAATTTGCGTCCTGTTGGCCAGTGCCAGTGCCGGTCATGGAATCATCCGCTGTGGACATTCTGCGTCGCGTAGTAAGGTGATACAGCGGATGGAGAAGGAATTGCGCTGTATTAACGGACCCGCGGGTACCGGCGACAATGACTGGATGACGGTGGGAAAATCTCGTCCCGCCTCGGCTATCCGCGGGCACAAGGCCGTGACATCCGCCCTGTGCATGCAGCACTGCCATCACTCAGGGAATTTTGTCAATGCCCCTGTTCTGTGTAACTAATATGCATATGGCTCGAGGGGTGGGTCGGAAGAAGAATCATATGCATTCCACCGGCCTTTGCCTTCTCTGTGGACCTGCTGTGGGATACAAAACTACCGGTGTACACCAAAGCGGCAATGGCAAGCATCGAGAAGTCTACCGTGTACACTTAGTAGTAGGGACTGTTTCGTTCTCTTATGACTAATCAACTTGATAATACCATAAGACGGGGGATTCTCAGTTTTACTTGTAGTATTACTTTTACAGGGAATTTGCTCTATCCAAGCAAGCTTGTTGCTGCTCGCTACTGAAGCTGCAAAGGCAACCTTTGTAATGGTTGCTGGGATTACGGACCAAAGGTTATTTGGATCAAGGAGATAAGCAGGAATATAACCATTCCTTTACAGAAACGCAGCAGAACAGTCGCCAGATGGTATAATCGCTCAAAAGATGTACATGATGCTCGCTTTTCGTGTCTCGTTCTAGCAGAGGCTAGATGCCCAAATGATATCGACTTTTCGCGCAAGACTTTTGTTACCCCAAACGCCGGCATCGCATAACAAACTTGGAGTCGTGGCCATTTCATGGCATATTCAAGCGGAAAATACGTTTACCAGTCATTTTGCATCGAGCCTACCAACGGCACGGAGGCCACAGTATCGGTCGCATCCAACAAGGGGGCCTGTGACACTGGGACGTTAGCTTTAGCTGCAGCAGCTGCAGCAGCTTGGGCTAGTTTCTTCTTTTTCTTCTTACTGAGCGTAGGAGCAGAAGCCTTGGTAGTCATTTCGCCCCCACCTGCAATGCTGTCAGGCCACTCGAACGTCCATTGGCCACCTTCCACAAACGGGACTTTTCTGATGAATTTGGAGACATCCGACTGCTTCCTCAACGCTTCCAAATAGCCAGCTACCTCGCGCAGTACGTCACCCTGCATTTGTTCAGGTGTAGCTGAGAATTCTGGAATCTCGAGGAGGTTGTACGGCTGTGCATTGGCCTTGAGAGAACTGTCGTCAATGAGAACCGTGTTGTGTTGACCAAAGCGACCGCCAGCCTCATAGTCCGGATGGTAAGATTGAATTTGACTCCGGCTCCATACCAGTTTCAAATTCTTATACACTTGAACATTTTGCTGGTAATTTGCCGGTGATAGACCGAAGCTGTCGCGCGCCCATTGGGCTACGAGCTTTGAGCGGAAATCGTTGTCCAGAGCCTGATTGACGAGCGCCTTGACATTGTCTGGCCTGGCGCTTGACCAAACCATGACCTTGAAGTTCTCAAACAGGTAGCGTAGAAAGGGCTTCAAGAAAGGACGCTCGATCATAGTCTTCGCATTGCGATTGGGCCGATACAGAACTGTACCATTAAGGTCCAAAATGACCAACATCGGGCCTGGGGTCTCGGTTTCAGATGGTTCTCCAGCAGATTGCTCCATGTACTCCTCTGTGGGCTGTGGCGCAGGAAGCATGATCTTCTCGTCACCATAGCGCCCCTTCTTTTCAGTAGCAGGAGTTTGCTTAGGTCCTTTGGATACACTGTGACATTTGTTAATCCGGTGCCAGTCGGCTTCGTGAGAAGCAACGCAGTGGAGGGTGCCATACTCTTTCTGTTTGGCGTGGCCATTGGCAGCATTCACAGGCTTTGATTTCTTGCCCGGGTAATTTGGCGCCCTGTGAATATTAGCATTGTGATTCTTGAACTTTGCGCCCTGAAACAAGGCATCAATAGCATACTGTATGTCCTCGTTCCTCGCATTTTGGGGAAAGTTTGCCTGGGTATGCATTGCGTGATGCTGCCCCCGATTTCCAAACATCTGTCGTTGCTGGTGGTGCATAAATGGCAGAGGGCCATGGTGGAACGGAGGTCCAAATGGCGGTGGCTGTCCAAACGGCGGCGGCCCATGTTGCTGCATATGCGGAGGCAAATGTCCTGCCAAAGCATCTGGACCCGGTGGATAGTTTAGTGGGGGTGGAGGCGGAGGTGGAGGCGCATGATATCCATGACCGTTGTGCATCATCCACTGATGGTAGGCTTGTGCGTGGAGGTGGGCTCCATAGTCGCCATATGCTTGTGGGTTGTTGAACATGTGCGGAGGTACAGGGGGCGGCATCAGCGGAGGCGGCATGGGAAAGTTGTTGTTCCACGGGACTCCTGGTGATCCATATGGACCCGGGGGCCCTTGAGGGGCCTGGGGAGGGGGAGGAAGCTGGTTCTCAAAGGCGCCCAGATCCTGCTCTCGATGGCCAAAGCCACCAGGCTGGAAAGGCAGCGCATTAGGGTTCCATGAATCGTTCATGCTGGAGCCTGTGGCGGTGCAGGCAAGCGCGTGCTCTGGAAAAGGACTATGTCGACCTGTGGTGGTCTTGGAGTTGGCGATGTTAGTGGACGAAGTTGCGACTGGAGCGCAGTGGGGGATGCTGTACCGAGCTGACGCGATGGCGGCCATTGAGCACGTGCGCTGGCGGTGAGGATGACTTGGAGACCAGAGAGGAATGAGGAGTGAAGAGCAGGGCGAGGTGACGATGCAGTGCCCGAAGCATGAGCCCAGCTGATGACGCCTCGCTGTATGGAAATTTGGGCGCGCAACTGCCTGCCCGTCAGCCCTATCGGCGAATCGAAACCCCGACGGCCATGTGGGGTCCACCGAAAAGTCGGGTAGCGCAATCTGGGGTGTTTTCGCGACGCTCCACGCCAATCCAAGAACTGTATCTCACAACCTGGTGATTCCGCAGTGGGGACTTGATATACATGCCCGCGATGGTGCTTGCAAACAAGCTCGACCGCAACCTGCGCGCAGCAGAAGAAGAGAGCACGGATGGCGAAGACTACTACGAGGTTACGGACCGGTCTTCTTCTGCCTCTGTAATCGAGGCAGATGAAGGCGGAAACGTCATCAGCTCCGATGGCGAAGAAGATGCGGGGTTTGAAGATATGGTGAGCATCATACAGGACAATTGACAAGTGGTTCGTGCTAATATAAACAAGCCAGGTGCCGAAAACGACGACGACGACCAAGTAAAGGCGCAAATGAGCAGAGTCTCATTCGGCGCATTAGCCAAGGCCCAGGATGCACTTTCGAAATCGTCTGACCGAAAACGCAAGCGAGGCGACGACACATCAAAATCACAAGAAGACAAGCTGGAGGCGTTGAGAGAGCGGTTACGGCAGATCAAGGCTGAGAAGCTTGCAAGTGGTGCGCAGCCTAACAAGAAAGCAAAGACATCAAGCAAATCCAAGGCGAAGCCCATCCAGAGTGAAAGTGGCGACAACGACGATGCCAGTGACAGCGAAGGCTCTGATTCAGATGCCGCGCCCCATGCGCGATCAAGCAAACACGCCCCAGCCGTCCAGTCGAGCAAGCGCATGGTGTCGCGTAAACGCCAGGTGGTTGAGGTCAAGAAGCCCGTCTTCCGAGACCCACGATTTGATAACGTGTCCGGGCCCCGGCCAGAGGAGCATGTGGTTGACAAGCGCTATTCCTTCCTCAACGACTACCGGGCGTCTGAAATCGCAGAATTGCGTAGCACCATCAAAAAGACAAAGAACGAAGAGGAAAAGGAGCGGCTTAAAAAGAAGCTTTTATCCATGGAGTCCCAGCAGAAGGCAAGAGAAAACAAGGAGAAGCTCAAGGAGGTCGCACGCGAGCACAAGAAGAAGGAAAAGGAATTGGTCAAGGAGGGCAAGAAGCCATTCTTCTTGAAGAAGTGTATGTCCATGATCGCGCCTCTACTGAACCGTCCCGTACTAACCATACATTCTAGCCGAGCAAAAGAAGATTGCGTTGGTCGACCGATTCCAGAATATGAAATCCAAGCAGCGCGACAAGGTCATCGAACGCCGTCGCAAGAAGGTCACTGCCAAAGAAAGGAGGAACATGCCCGATGCGCGGCGCACTGCTTAACAGCTTTCGTGTGGGGCGTATTCACACGTGCAAAAGCATTAGGATCAATTCCATATACCCAAACAGCAATGCAGCATTTTTGCATACTGTCGAGTTTTGCTCTCTTACATATACCTTTGGCCCTGTGCTGTTAAGAATGGATGTCGCTTACAGTCTCTTACGATCAATCGATAAGCCACGGGATGCACTCAAAAGCATGGTAGATTCACGCTTGGACCTTAAGGCCCGAGGACCAGGAATCTAGATCTACTTAGCTGCTCTTCAGCCTCGTGCTTGGCAGGGACACCCGAATTCAGCCCCTAGCACTATCCATTCGATACGCTACAGAACGCCTTCTCCCACGGAGTGGATCTACCGGACTTTTCCTTGGCCAGCGGGCGGCGCGATCTCATCCTCGCTATACCAGAATAAGTTGGTTGTAAAAAGCTCACCCGCATACCTTGACTCTTGCCCCAACCGTTACCCCTTTGAGAGTTCGGGTACCACCTTATTTCGCTTCAAGCATGTTGTGTCATCTGTTAGTAGGGAGAAAGCGAGCAGAATCTCGGAGGCGCCGGTCTACCTGACCAGGAATCCTCTCCGTTCTGGAATGCTCAGCTCGTATGTAGCGCCACCAGAATAACCCTGAATCGAGAAACATTCTGCCATGTATATATGCTAGTTATCATGCCTAAGTGAGGCTGCACTGGATAAGACTATTCCATTCAGCAAATACAATTCCAGCAGCCGGTCGTAGACCATTCCACTCATTCAAGATGCGCTCGTTTACCGCTTCACTCCTTTTGTCTTTGGCGACAGCCACCTCCGCTACTGAACAAGCCCAGTGCGACTTAATTGCCGACGTTGTTAATGTTTTACATGCCGTTCCATACGCACCGGAACTGTGCTCGTCATTGCTTCAGTTTTCCACTTCAACTGTCACCTCCACGGCTGTGAACACCGTGACGGACACCAGACCCACAGAGGTCACAGAGACACTCACCGCGACGGAGACGCTTACCCACACGGAGACGCTCACTACCGGTACCATTACTAGTACTACTGATGGTGTCTCAGTGGCCGTCACTGAGTAAGTCTGCTTTTTAGGAATACAAATTGCGGCTGCTGATTTGTTCAGAACCACCACGGTCCCAGCATGCCCCACAATCACTACCATCCTCAAACGAGGTGATGTTCTCGAGATTGCTTCCACCAGCACGACTTGCACCGGAAAGAAGTCTGCAAGCAGTGCAGGTGTTTATCCCACCTATCCCATCAGCGCTGCCCAGGTCTCGCCAACAAGCACCAGCTCTACTACGTGCTCCAGTTCTACCTCTACAAAGTCTTCTTCGACTAAGTGCTCGGAAAGTTTGAAGCCGACTTATGATGGATCCTACAACACGGAGGATTCTTATCCCACTGGTTCCTCGAGCACTCTGAAGCAAGCTTACGCTGATTCCTACAACACCAAGGAGTCTTATCCTACTGGTTCCTCCAGCGTTGACGGATCCTATTACGCAGCTAGCTCCAGCGGTGTTTACCCGCATTATGCTGTTACCTCGAGCATCATTCAGCAATACCCCGCTGCTTCGAGCGTCATTCAGCAATATCCTGTTGCTTCGAGCATCATTCAGCAATACCCTGCTGTCAACTCGAGCATTTACCAACCATATCCTGTTGTTAACTATACCACTTCGACAACACCCTCGGTAACACCCTCGGTAACACCAGTCACACCCACCCCCACCCCTACTCCCACTCCAGTCGTGTTGTGTGCAAAGGCACCAGAAGAGCTACAGCAATTCGAGTGTGAGAAGATTACCGAGGGCTGTGGATGCCTTGGCCTGCAAGCGCCTACAACGACTGAGACCATCGCTGAAATTACTTCTGTCGTTGAATATGCAACAACCACGGCTACGCTCCAGGTCACCACAGTTCAGGAAGAAACGCTTACGCTATCTGTAAGTCTAGTACGCTCTGTCGCAAAGATATAGTCTAATTTGTTCGTGTAGGTTGATGCAACTGAATACATTACCCCGACAGTAACTGTTGTTACCAAGGCCACTGAGACAGCGGCTCCACCTGATTTCAACACCGACGCCAACAACTGCGGTTCATGCGGCAACGTAGTAAGTTCCCAATACCTTGTCAATCACGCCCCACAACCAACTAACACCACCATAGTGCCCCAACGGCGGTAGCTGCTCCAACGGCGTGTGCCAGAACCTGAACCCGAACCCCCAATGCGCCGGCGCCACATGCCGCAACTACATCTATTGTGGTAGCGGCTGTCTCTGCGGCTCCGTCGTTGGTGGCGGCGGTCTCTGTGTCCCCGGTACCACATCATGCAGCAGTCCCGCGTGCAAGGCAAACTCGGACTGCGGTCCCAACCAGTTGTGCGTCATCAACACGTGCTGCAGAGGTGGTGCCGGCATGTGCGTCTCCGTTCAAACTTCGTGTGTCAACAATGCTGCCCCGAGGATGTTGTTTGTGCGACGACCCAGTGAGGGAACTGTCTCTGGATAGAGTTTGGGAATCTTACTGTAGAAGCATAATTTATGCTTACGCAACCTTATTTTAACACAAACCGTTAAGCTATGTACTAGATCCTTAGAGAGACTTGGATATCAATATTTTCTGATTTCTCTTCTGGAAAAATTATAGTGTAAATATGAAGCGTTTCGCAGATAGGCACAAAGTATATTTGTTATCAGTGAGTTGAGAAGAACTCTTAAGGAGAAATTTCATGTTCAGATGAGACTGCATATATGTATATACAGTAACGATTTAAGCCTAGATCGAAACTGACAGATCCCCAAGAAGTGTCCTTCCTGGACCTCAGTTCAGAGTATGATGACAAGAATCTTCACCAACCGCACCGACTAACGCGTTCAGCTATTTCTTACTCTCTCTCTCTCTCTCTCTTCAAAGGTCAAGATAAGACAAGTACAGCTCAACCCCCCCGTACTTTCAATCATGCTCAAGCTGGAAATACCAAGTACCGTCAAGACGTGGCAAATATAAACATGTCTCTGTCCTACCAAGCCTACGAACACCATTTCCACGTGTCTGCGCCGGCACCGCCACTCTGACCTGCGCCCTCGGCGCTGTACTCGTCCTCGTATCCTGATAGTTTGTAAGAATAATGGCGTTGGACCTGGAGCTGCGGTTTATAACCGTAACATTGACGTTTTGAGTGATGAGGATGTCTGTCGGGACAGTCATGTGGAAGTCGACAAAGTTGCTGGGTGACCATGAGGCTTGGGCTGCTTCTTGGGTGCGTGCCGGCTGGTCGATCGCCCATTGAAAGGAGAGGCGCCCGATAGTGTTGACAGGGTTGGGGGCAGAAAGTGCGGATAGACAGGAGCCCTGTCGGGGCGAGAGGGCTTGCGAGGGAGGGAGTGCCGCAGCAGATGCGAGGGAGGTCATGAGGAGGGTGGAAAGGAGGTATTTGAAGGCGTGGTGAAACATGTTGATGTTTCTGTGATGGGATTCGCGCTTGATCGGCTGGAATTGATAGATGGGTGACTGATAAGGTCTTTGCTTGGGCAGGCCGGTGGAGATGAAGATGGAGTTTTGTCGTTACATAGCAGTACTTTATATACTATATGCAACGAGAGACTACGAGATAGATAAACACGTGCCCGTGACATGCGGACTGTACGGAACTTCCCTACCTATGTCACTGTAGAGTACGCACATACTATTTTCAGCTTACGCAGGTTTTTCAGAGTAAGTGCTTAGTAGTCTGACTCATCTCACCCGGTTTCACGATCGATCTATAGTGCGGACCAAAAGGCAATTGGGACGAGTGAATACACAGTTGACGGAACCATCTACCTGCGCCTTTCCAAGGTTATGTACACTGTATATATGCTTGTAGAAATCACTTAACATAACAAAAAGGGCAGTAGTAAACAATCAATTCAATCATAATATTGAAGTAATGCTATGAAGCGCTGGAGCTCCAGACTTTTCCGCAGGTTGTTGATCTTGATATTAGTAGAGTGGCTCTCGAGGAACGGAAGTGGCCGTATATCTCAGACAATGGAAACGGCTAGTTTAGTATCAGCATTTTACCACATTTGGTGGTGGTTTGGTGGCTCTCCGTCAATCGGTGAAACCGGGCAATTCAGATCAAGCGGAGTAGTCTACCTAAACGAGTTAACTCTACCGCAAAATATCAGCACTACTATAACATCATCTTAAATAAACTCTCGATCAGATAGACATGATAACTCTGCATTTACTGTAACGAAGTATACACTAAACAGAATACTGATAGCAACTTTACAGCACCAGCAATAAGGGCTCCAAGCGAGCTTCATGCCATCTGTGCTGGATGTTTTTATTTCCAACTTCACCAATTAACCGATCGAGTGGCCTGTCTAGAGTACGGGTATTCCAGTCCACTGAGAGAAGAGTAGTGAAGGTACCGAAAGTTAAATAGATTGAGGCTTACGGTGGCCCATGCTAGACCCATATTAATCACTGCATGTAAGCAGATCTACCCGTCAATCAAGCCATCTTCATAGTTAACAATTGCATATCAGTATACCCTGATTAGCTATTAGCAGTTATGTAGGACAGATGGTATTCCCTTAGTGATGGCACCGGATACTCAAGGTTCGAATAGGACAGAATGTATATACAGGTTCAAAAATCTTCGAAATGGGGATGTGATAAGGCATGATACCAGCCTTAGATAGATAATACGCTACTCTTTTGAAGATAGCTACGATTACAGTCAGCACTAATCAGAGCTTCATATCTCCTTAGTAATATCGACCATTCTAGGTTATGACGTAGCCATTTCGCAGATCGCTAGTGCGAAATCTGGATAGCCGGCCCACATTTGAAGCTTTGGGAACAAGCTCTAGATCTACCCGTAGCTCTCATAGCCTGGGTGAAGGGGCAAAGGTTATTGACTGCCCCCATATGAGCTGAGTGTCACCCTCAAAAGACAGGTGTCTGCGTAAGTGCGACGCTATTTATAGTTTTCCCTTCTCTCTCTCTCTTTTTTAACTCTCTTACCTCTCTCTCCTTTCTGCGTATACCCCTCTCTGTTTCTCTCTCTCTTCTTTCCTCTTTTTTTCACTTTAAGAGATAATAGTTAAGTGATAGAAGTAAAAAGTAGAAAAGAAAGTAGAAAAAGGGAAGAACAAGGTAAAGAAAAGAGATGGATAAGTAAAATAAAACAGTAAAGAAAGGTGCAATTTCTCTCTCTTTTTTGCAAGAAGATAGAAATTCTACGCTACACAGGGATGTCCTACTTATATGGGTGATGAATAGCTTATATGGGGGTGACTGATAATCTTTGCCCGGTGAGGGGGACCTAAAGGGCCCCCAAATGATTTTTCTCAGTCCAGAGTATCGTAGCAGTTGGGCCTACTTCTGAAGGTGTTTTAGTTCATTTTAAGCCCTAGTATCTCTTGGTGTTGTGAATACGGCTTATAAACAGAGCTGAGGAGATGTGTAGCGTTAGCTCTGTATTACCCCACTATCCATCCCCTGTTATAACTACCTACTACTCTGGCTGCCGTGGCTGCTCGCTAATGTCGCTCTTCTAGCTACCTATCAATCGAGCTACTTTAATCAGCCCTTCTCGTCCGAACTCTACGTAGCTACTACTAACACTTCAATCGATTTTCTATGTTTGACATGCAGCATCACAAATCGATTTTCTTAAGGAAAAATAGCAAGCCACGCCCCCAACCTACCAAAATCAAATATGAAATAGAACAACTACTACAGCCGAAGTACTAGGGATTCTAATATACACCCTCCTATCCATTCCACCACAGACCATCCATAGACATATACTCCCAACGTCTCACTAAACCTATCATATTCAGAAAAACAACTAAGGTATTCCAACAGCCAATCACATCGCCCCTCCTCAATGCGCTGACACCCCACCCCTACCCTTAAGAACCGCCTTATAACATGCAGCTAAAGCCGCAAAATGATGTACGCCAAGTCCTGCACTACAACGACATAACCACAATTGCAACTGCAACGGTACTTGCACTTGCATGTAACTCAACCGCCCAACGGCTCAACCCCCACACCCACCCACACACACACATACGCCGCTCCCCCGCTGCCCGCCCCGCGGATTAACGCTCGAAAGGGCAGGTACATTTGGTGGGGGGGAAAAGCACGACATACCCGCATCACTCCCTATACTTGTTTTTTTTTCGGTCAATCGATCAACAAAGAAGGATGATTACTGTTGGAAGCGGGGTTACGGCAGGACGACGGACGAAAAAAGAGAGATAACAGGATGAGAATACTGGGATAATAGAAAGGTATATAAAACCTTGTACTTGCGTAACCTCGATGCAAAACATAGTCTGTATCTCTCCGATTCCATTAATCTCTATACTGGTCAATTTTGTACATAATTTTGTACTGCATAATGGGGTCGTGGCTCCTCCTTCTCCTCCCCCTCCTCCCCCTCGTGCTTCTCCTCTCCCAAGCCAATGCTTGCCAACGCGACTGGTCCCTCCTCCACACCCGCATCAGCCGCCACACCCACTCCCCCAGCAAACATACAACCCGCGATGAACCAACCTACCCGCCCCTCCTCACCCCCACCGAATCCCTGCTTCTCAACTCCTTCGATGCCGTCGCTCTGCGCACATGGTCCTCGTACTACACGCACGGCGACCATCTCGGCACGCACAACCGGACCATGGCGGAGTGGACGGCTGAGAAATGGCGGAGCGCGGGGTTCAGCGAGGTGAGGTTGGAGGAGTTTCCGATTTGGTATACGTATCCTGAGCGGTCGGCGCTGCGGTTGGAGGATAGTGGGGGGGAGGTGCTGCATGAGGCGCGGTTGGTGGAGGATGTGTTGGCGGAGGATGAGACAAGTGGGTTGCCGAATATTATTCCGGCATATCATGGGATGAGTGCTAGTGGGGATGTTAAGGGGGAGTATGTGTATGTTGGGTGAGTTCTTCCTTTTCTCTTTTCCCTCTTGGTGTTGAAATATGTGGGCTGGAGGGCTGACGAGGGTTTTGGGGGGATGGCAGACGCGGCACGCGAGCAGATTTCCAGGTCCTAAAGGATGCGGGGATTGAGTTGAAGGGCAAAATTGCGCTTGCGAACTATGGAGGGATATATCGCGGGACGAAGGTGAAGAATGCGCAGGATAATGGGATGGCGGGGTGTGTGCTTTTTACGGATCCGTTGGATGATGGCGAGGTAACGGTTGAGAATGGGTATAAGGCTTATCCTGGTTTGATGCCCGTGTATTATTCTTTTATTCGAGTGAGTACTAACTGTGATAGATGGTCCTGCGCGGAACCCCTCTTCGATTCAGAGAGGTAGCGTGCGCTTTTCTTCGCTGTACTCTGGTGATCCTACGACTGTTGGTTGGGCTTCTTCGTGGGACTCACCTCGCGGAAACATCTCCCTGTATACACCGTCCATCCCGTCTATCCCTATCAGCATGAAAGACGCGCTTCCTATTTTAGAAGCTCTCAAAGGCCACGGTGTATCTGCCAAGGAAGCAAATCGTAGTGGGTGGACTGGTGGATTCAGCAACATAACTTACGACAGTGGTCCTGCACCTGGTGCACTCCTACATATAGATCATCTCATGAACGGATGGGTAGCCCCCGCATGGGACGTCATTGGTGTCATCAATGGAACTACCGACGAAGTCGTAGTAATTGGAAACCACCGCGATGCATGGGTTATCGGCGGTGCCGCGGATCCGAATTCCGGCAGTGCTGTTTTGATTGAGCTGGCGAATGCGTTTGGCAAGTTGGTAGCAAAGGGCTGGAAGCCAAGGAGAACAATGTATGTCAAGTCCACTCCGAAATCGACATTGGCTAACACAGCACAGCGTCCTTGGTTCCTGGGATGCTGAGGAGTTCGGCCTCCAGGGTTCCACTGAATGGGTTGAAACGAATCTGCCCTGGCTCACAACAAGTGTAGTCGCCTACCTCAATCTCGACATTGCAGTGTCTGGTCCTAGGACCTCGTTCTCCGGAAGCGGAGAGCTACACACAATAGTCGTAGAACAGATGAAAAAGGTCCTGTTCCCCGAAGGCTGGGGCGATTTCCCGACGCTCTACGACATGTGGCACAACACTACCCAGGGAGCAATTCCGCCGCTGGGCAGTGGCTCCGACTATGCCAGTTTCTACCAAAACGGCATCGCATGTGTACGTTCCCACACATCTTAACATACTCTTTCACCACTAACACATCCAATAGATCGACATTGGCTCCGACGGCGGTAAAACCGACCCCATCTACCACTACCACTCCAACTACGACTCGTACGCGTGGATGTCGCGCTTCGGTGACCCAGACTTCAAACTGCACAAGGCAGTCGGCCAATGGCTCACCCTCATTGCCTACCACATTGCCGACGACGCCCTCATCCCCTGGGACCTCCCCAACGCCGCTTCAGTCCTGCAATCCTACCTCTCGGAGCTCAACGAGACAATCACAGA